GAAGAAAACAGAGTGGGGGCGCGGGGGGGGGGGGACGACGACACAGTTGCATATAAAAATAAAGAGGGGTGGCCAGAGCCAGGGGTCCCCCCAACCCCTCCGGGTGCCCCCACGGGAGCCCGACCCCTCCGGGGCAGGACCCGGTCACCAAAGGGGACACCGGTCACAGCATCTCCCCCCTCCCCCGGCAAAAAGCGACGGTGCAAACACACCCTGAGACCCGTATGAAGAGGAAGAGGGGGGACAGCGACCGGAGAGGGGGGTTCCCCACCCCACTTTCCTTCATGTCCTTGGGAGTGGAAGAGATTTTTGGGGGGGGGCCGGTCCCCCCTGGCTCTCTCGGGGACGGGGTCAGCAGGAGCTGGTCTGGAGGTTGGCCTCGTTGAGCAGGGAGGCGATGGAGGAGGGTCCGTAGGCGCTGTCGAAGTCCTCGTCCGAGCTGAGCTGGTCGTCCTGGAGGGAGGAATCGGCGGCCGAGCGGGCGGCCTTGCGCCTGGGGAGGGAGGAGAGGGGTCAGCTGGGGTGGTCCCTCACCTGGGGACAGGGCTGGGACACCCTTCCAGAGCAGGGATGGGGCTGGGAATCCCCCTCCAGCCCGGAGACGGGGCTGAGACCTCCTTCCCCTCCTCTTCCAGCCAGGGGACAGGACTGGGACCCCCTCTTCCAGCCCAGAGATGGGGCTGGGACCTCCTTCGAGCCCAGAGACGGGGCTGGGAACCCCCCTCCAGCCCAGGGATGGGGCTGGGAACCCCTTTTCCAGCCCAGGGATGGGGCTGGGACATCCTTCAAGCCCGGAGATGGGGCTGGGAACACCCCTCCAGCCTGGAGATGGGGCTGGGAACACCCCTCCAGCCTGGAGATGGGGCTGGGAACCCCCCTCGAGCCTGGAGATGGGGCTGGGACCCCCTCTTCCAGCCCGGAGATGGGGCTGGGAACACCCCTCCAGCCTGGAGATGGGGCTGGGACCCCCTCTTCCAGCCCAGAGATGGGGCTGGGAACCCCTCTTCCAGCCCAGGGATGGGGCTGGGAACCCCTCTTCCAGACCTGAGACAGGGCTGGGACCCCCTCTTCCAGCCCAGGGATGGGGCTGGGACATCCTTCAAGCCCAGAGACGGGGCTGGGACCCAGAGATGGGGCTGGGACCTCCTTCGAGCCCAGAGAGGGGGCTGGGAACCCCCCTCCAGCCCAGGGATGGGGCTGGGACTCCCTTTTCCAGCCCAGGGATGGGACTGGGACATCCTTCAAGCCCGGAGATGGGGCTGGGAACACCCCTCCAGCCTGGAGATGGGGCTGGGAACACCCCTCCAGCCTGGAGATGGGGCTGGGAACCCCCCTCGAGCCTGGAGATGGGGCTGGGACCCCCTCTTCCAGCCCGGAGATGGGGCTGGGAACACCCCTCCAGCCTGGAGATGGGGCTGGGACCCCCTCTTCCAGCCCAGAGATGGGGCTGGGAACCCCTCTTCCAGCCCAGGGATGGGGCTGGGAACCCCTCTTCCAGACCTGAGACAGGGCTGGGACCCCCTCTTCCAGCCCAGGGATGGGGCTGGGACATCCTTCAAGCCCAGAGACGGGGCTGGGACCTCCCCTCCAGCCTGGAGATGGGGCTGGGAACCCCTCTTCCAGCCCAGAGATGGGGCCAAGACCTCCTTCAAGCCCAGAGACGGGGCTGGGACCTCCCCTCCAGCCCGGAGACGGGGCTGGGACCCTCCTCCAGCCCAGGGATGGGAATAGGAACCCCTCTTCCAGCCCAGGGATGGGGCTGGGACCTCCTTCGAGTCTGGAGATGGGGCTGGGAATCCCCCTCCAGCCCAGAGACGGGGCTGAGACCTCCTTCCCCTCCTCCTCCAGCCCAGGGATGGGAATAGGAACCCCTCTTCCAGTCCGGAGACTGGGCTGGGACCCTCCTCCAGCCCAGGGATGGGAATAGGAACCCCTCTTCCAGCCCAGGGATGAGGCTGGGACCTGCTTCGAGCCCAGAGACGGGGCCGGGACCCCCTCTTCCAGCCCAGAGACGGAGCTGGGACCCTCCTCCAGCCCAGGGATGGGAATAGGAACCCCTCTTCCAGACCAGAAACAGGGCTGGGACCCCCTCTTCCAGCCCAGAAACGGGGCTGGGAACCCCCCTCCAGCCTGGAGATGGGGCTGGAAACCCCTTTTCCAGCCCAGAGACGGGGCTGGGATGCTCCTCCACCCCAAGGATGGGGTTGGGACCCCCCCTCTACCCCACCATCCCATACCAAGCCTCCTTCTCCAGCGCCTTGATGCGGTTCTGGAGCTGCTCGTTGAGCTCGTGCTGCTCCTCCAGGTCCCTCTGCGCCTTCTTGCGGGCTCCTTCCAGCCGCTCGATCTCCTCCTCCGCCTCGTCCACTTGGCGCTTCAGGGCCTTCACCCTCAGGCTCAGCTGCAGGGACACGGAGGAAACTGGGCTGGGACCCCCTCTTCCAGCCCAGAAACGGGGCTGGGAACCCCCCTCCAGCCTGGAGATGGGGCTGGAAACCCCTTTTCCAGCCCAGAGACGGGGCTGGGATGCTCCTCCACCCCAAGGATGGGGCTGGGACCCCCCCTCCACCCCACCGTCCCGTACCAAGCCTCCTTCTCCAGCGCCTTGATGCGGTTCTGGAGCTGCTCGTTGAGCTCGTGCTGCTCCTCCAGGTCCCTCTGCGCCTTCTTGCGGGCTCCTTCCAGCCGCTCGATCTCCTCCTCCGCCTCGTCCACTTGGCGCTTCAGGGCCTTCACCCTCAGGCTCAGCTGCAGGGACACAGAGCAATTCCCATGGGAATTCCCCGCCGGTGCGGGACAAGCACCCCAGGGTGCCTTTGAGGGGGAAGAAGGTGGTCCCGAAGCCCCTCAGCATCTCCAGCTGCCACCCACCTGGTCCTTCTGGTCGCTGACGTGCTGCCGCTCGTCATCGATCTGGATGGTCAGCTCCTTCACCTTCCTCTCCAGCTTGCGGTTGGAGGACAGCAGGACGTTCTTCTCCCTGGGGAGAAGTCAAGGGGTGGGGTGGGCGAGGTGGTGAGGCTGAAGGCAACCCCTCCTCATCCTCCTTGAGGCCGGGATGGGGTGGGGGGTGGTCCCGGTGGCCGGTACCTCTCCTCCGCCTGCAGCCGGTCCTGCAGCTCCTCCACCCGCGCCTCCAGCTGCGAGACGTTGCTGTTGGGCTTCTGCAGCCCCTCCGAGCTGGCCAGGCGGCTCTTCAGCTCCTTGTTCTGGGGGGAGAGGGGAAAAAATACCCCCCAAAAAAATACTGTCACCCCCAGCACCCAGCACAGCTCCCAGCCCGGTGGGGTTTTGCCTTCAAACCCTGAAACTCCCCACCCAAGAGGCATTTTGGCCACCTCCAGCACCCAACGAGCTTCCTGTGGGGTATCAAGAGCCCTAAAACAGCACAGAGACACCCAAAAAACACCCCATAGGGTTGTCCCCCCTTCTCCATCCACACCTTGACACCAGCACTGCAAACCCCCCCATCCCAGACAGACCATGCCGGTGCCCGGGCAGCCAGTGCTCATGGTCCTTCTCTTAAACGTGACCCCAAAAG